AAAAAAAAAAAAAAAAGAGCACTTCAGTTTAGTGTAAACTTGGTAGGGACTATGATTTAAAGTTATTTTCTCATAATCCTTTCTTGATTATGTATCACTGTGGTTAAAATGCTTACTCTGCATATTATTTTATGACTTGAACAAGAATAGCACTTTAAAACAATGTATACAAATCAGTATAAAATTTAAAAAAAATTAAAAGAATGGCAATTTAACCTAGTAGTTCATAACATTGATAAAGATGTATTTTTTACTCATTTGTGACTTCTAAACACTAAAGACTATGAATCCATTCTCCTGAAATCCGGAACTGAGCCCAAAGCTCAAAATCACTTGATGAACTGAATATACAGACTCATCATCAATTTTTCAGAAGCTAGGAAGGTGTAAGAACTAGCACCAGAGTGTGGTTTTGGATTTACATGTTTCCTCACATTATCTGAACTTTTCATTGCTCACATATTTACTTGTGGCCTTGTCTTGAAACTCACTTATAGTCTAAATAGCTTTTACATCTATTTACCTCTGTTCCCACCAAAACCCATTTTAACATGTCAAACCTTGTGTAGTAATATATTTTAAAAAATTAAGACCCCCTTTGACAAGCACTATGGTAATGGGATAATTAAAACAAGGGAAAAAAAATTGAGGCCTTTATAGTGAACAGTATGAAACAGAAGTTTTTTACTTTCACTTCCAGATGAGTCCTGGATATCAGGTTCTGGAGAGGAGTAGCCTTTCACTACTTTCTTCTGTTGTCTGGTCGGCTTATGTTTCATTTTTGGGACACTAACCTAAAAAGAAAAATTTACATATGATTTTTCACTGTATTTTAAAATTAAAGATCAATGTACAACTATCCAAACAGTTTGTTTCTGGGCACCATGTTGTTGTTGATTGCTTTCAAGTTGAGCACGACTCATAGCAACCTCAGGAATGAAAGACCTGGACCGTTCCTATAACTATCATCCTTTCTTTAAGTTCACAGAGTGTCCAGAGGCATATTATTTAGGAAATGGATGCTACTCCTGTTATCAAACACTGTTGTTCATGGTTAACCATTATGGCATATGACACCTCAAAGGCACAGAGTTCAGCATCACAGCAACCCCCGGTTATCTCAGTACAGCAAATTGACAGACCAGTGCTCTACCACTTAGAAGAATGTTCTTTCAAAATACAGTAACACAGGACCTCAGGTACAACCGACATTTAAATACAATGGCCCTTCCCAAGGTCGGAGGTCGTGATGACTCCAACCAAGAGTGCACACCTTTCAGAGTCCAACAGCTTAACCAATCAGCCTCCAACTGGAGACAAGGGCCTAGGCACCACAGTCAGATATAAAAACAAAAATTAAAGAGTCTAGTATACAATCAAATAATTTTAGTAGGAAACATTAGCACAAACATAGAGATTTATAAGTCATAAGAGTTTTGTTCCCATTCTTGATCCTTTATCCATACAATTTTTGTCCATGAGACAGACAACCATAGTTATTTGAGTGTACGTCAGTCCAGTGACATTTGTATGCACCCTCAAGCAAAGATGGATGGAGATACAGACACACACATAGACACACACACACGCGCACATACACACACATACACATATATTCTCCTCTTCTCTAACTACACTAGTTAGCAACTCCTGTAGATTGTTAAATGAGGTTTTGTGATAATCCTTCTTTTGTTCCCGACTGAGTTTATAATAAATTACTTACTTTTAATTATATCTAAATAATGTAAAAAAATTATATATATATTATATATAATGTAAAAAAATTATATGAAATACCATTATATTTAAGACCATGATTTAAACTTAATAAAAAGTTACAAATACATTCATAAGATTAAAAAGATATATGTATCTCAAATCATAAGCTTAAAATTTTGCTTAAAACAATCTTAATAATAGGTTTACAATTTTGATAACCAGTCCAAAGTCCTAAATTCAAGAATTATTAATAGGAAGATACATTATATGTTTAAAAAATTGTGAGCTGATGAACATTAAATCTCTATTCTTACCTGTTTACTGTGCTAAAAGGAATTATCCCCACTTACTTAGTCCTTGAGATTATTTTTAAAAACTGTTATTCAAATTTTTGAAAATGAAATTTCTGTAATATGCAACAAACAGAATCTGGATTCAACCTATAATATGCTCTTCTACTTGTTAAACTTAGGAGCTCTGCTTGCTTAGTGGTTAGGGATTGTGCTGCTAGCCCAAAGGTACATGGTTTGAATCCACCAGATGCCTGTGGGAAAAAGGTGGGAAATCTCCTGTGTGGTTTATATTCTCTGAAAACCCTCTGGAGGGTCAACTATGAGTAGGTATGACTTGCCACCACATAACAACTTGTAAATGACAGAATCCAAGATTAGAATTAGATCCAAGATTTCCTGAGTGGTTTGCACCGGACACAAAGCTATGCTTTCCCAATATTTTTTGTAAACTTTTAAAGTTAGAAGGCTTTATATCCCAAAATAAGTAAAGAAAATTAAATTATCTCATACTTAAGAGTTCAAATTATTTACTATACTTGTGACTTAGACTATTGATAATTTTAAGGGTAGTAAAAAGATCAAAAGAATTAAAGCATTTCCAACAGTGCTCTGCATTTGCTAGAAAACTGGTAGTCATCAATGATACTATTAGAACATTTCATAGAACAAATGAGTAATATTTCTTAGGTATCTGTTTAGTACTTTGAAGAGAAGAGACTCTTAGCTCATAACCTACTACTAAGTAGGAGTGGAGACTATTGAATAAACAACAAAAATAATGGAATAAATGAATATGTAAATGAAGAATTATCATTTCTAAGTTGAGAAAATGAATTTAAATATTCTAGTTATTTCTTCTAGGTTGTATAGCCCAGGTGTGTCCACTTGCCTTACAGAGGTAACTTGTGGTTGCTGTGAAGCTGAACACTGTGACACTGATGTGTCAAATGTGATAATGGTTACCCCTGGTGGACAGTGTTTGGTGGAGCTCCCCAATTAAAACAAGCTTGGAAGCAGGGGTGGCATCCACTTCCATAATAGCTTGCCTCCGGAAACCCTATGAAGCTGGAGAAAGGATGAAAGTCACACAAGTGTTGAGGACTTTCGTTCACAGGGTCTCTATGGGCTGCCTGCAACTCTACAGCACTTAGAAACAGTAACATCGACATAGAGAATGATCAGTTGGCCTAGTGGACAGAAAGTGATGCTACCAAGCCAAAGGTGGGCGACTTTTAATCTGCGACCCTCAGGCCTCTTTTTCATTGTTTTTCTAGGTTGTATAACCCTGTTGTGTCCGCTTGCCATACAGAGGTAACTTGTGGTTGCTGTGAAGCTGAACACTGGGACACTGAAGTGTCAAATGCATTAATGGTTACCCAAGCTGGCCAGTGTTTGGTGAAGCTCCCCAGTTAAAAGAAACTTGGAAGCAAGAGTGGCATCTACTTCCGTAATACCTTGCCTCCGGAAACCCTTTGAACATGGAGAAAGGATGTAAGTCACACAAGTGGTGAGGACTTTCATTCATAGGGTCACTATGAGTCACCTACGACTCAACAGCATTTAACAACAGTTAATTTTTCATTGCTAGAAAAGTTTCATTCTTGAAAAACAAAAGTAAAAACACACTTGATATATGAACACCTAGAACAACTGTTGTTGTTGTTGTTATGTGCCGTTGAGTTGCCTGCGACTCTTAGCAACTCTATGTACAACAGCCCTAAACCCTGCTCTATTCTGTGCCAATCGCACTGTCTCCGACACACCCATCCCAATTACCCCAGCCACTGAATCAATTCACCTCATAGAGGGTCTTCCTCTCCTGCGCTATCCCTCCATCCTCGCAAGCATGACGTCCTTCTCTAAGGACTGGTCCCTCTTGCAGTATGTAGAAAGTGAATTTTCATCTCTTATTGCTGTCAAGTTGGAACCAACTCACAGCTGACCCTTCAGTAGGTTTTCAGAAATTGTAAATCACACAGGAAGAGATTTTACCTCCACCCTCATGAAGCAGCTGGGAATTAAATAATTAGAATTTCCCACCTTTGGGTTAGGAGCGAACTCCCTACCCATTACATGAAATAACACCCTATATAATATTCAAGTCCTGGAGCAAAAAAATAACATTTGGAATTCAAACCCGCCTTCTTGGTTAAAATACGTATTACTCTACAGAACAGGTTAAAAAGTGGAAATTGATGTAATCTGTTGAGATGATTACTCAGGGTGACAATAGGAGTCATGAATACAATTAGGGATATATAGATTTATAGTGGTAGGTAAACTCTTCCTAACTGCAAATGAATTTGTGTTTCCACAGGAGCCATGCTGGCACACTGGTTAAGTGATCTGCTGTTAACTGCAAGGTCAGTGGTTCAAACTCACTCAACACTAGACAGAAGAAAGATGTGGCAGTCTGCTTCTATACTGATTTATAGCCCTGGAATCCTACGGTAGTTTGACTTGCTCCTTAGGAATCAAATCTGACTCAATAGCAATAGGTTTAATTTCATTTTGACTATTTCTACTAAGCTCAAATTGTTAAATGAAGAAACAAATCTAAAATGTTTATGGCCAAAGATTCTGAGGATTTAACACATTTATGTGTCTAACGGATCTAATTGGATCTTTTGAAATAACATACCATTGGTGTACGATGTTTCACTTTGGTCTGGATAACACCATCTTTCTCAAACTGTATCATATCATTAAGTGGGTCCCATGGTCGGGTGCTACATAAATGAAAAAGAATACATCAGTTTAATGACTAATAAAAGAACTTAAAACCTTTTTACTGTATATTAGATTTTCATTGTTGTTGCTGATTGTCTTTGAGTCAAGCACAACTCACAGTGACCCTCTGAACAAAAGGCCTGAAGCCCCTCTAAAACTACTGACATTTATCAAAGTTCATAGAGTTTCTGGAGGCACATTATTTAGGAAGTGGATGCCATTCCTGCTTCCAAACCTGTCAAAGAATGTTATTGGTTGAGTCATCTGTGATGCATAGCAACGACCCAATGTACAGCAGCTCTGAATCCAAAACAATTATAAATATAGCATTATTTGTCTGTTTAATTTGCAGATCTTTAGCTTATTTTAAAAGCAAACTACCATAATGAAGTCAAGTTTAAAATCTCACATTCATATGCACAGCTAAGTAAAAACAAAAATTCCTAACGAGGAGAGTTCTTGAAATTTAAGTAGCAAAGTATTTCAGTATACCGTCTGTAGTAACCAATTTTAAATTACATACTCTGCAAACTTGTAATGCCATTCTCCTGTGAGTGGATCAAGTTCAAATAACTTGCAAGCCCATTCCTCATTTTTTGTTTTCCGATCTCTGGCTGCTTGTCTTTGAGCTTCTTCTAAAACATACTTCTCTTGAGTAGCTTCAGTTTGGTCTTTGGCATTTATGGCTCTAGTGACACGCTGCCAGAGTCTAAGACATATACAAAAATTGTATTTTAAAAAGCATATATATTATATACTTAACATAGAAACAATATTTTTTTTAAAGAAATTGAGAATCAAATCCCTGTAGTAGAAAAGTTTGAGTTTCTTGGGACAAAATGATATGTGGATTTTCAGCACTGATAAAAGTTACAGTCAAAAATGAATCAAGGGACAAAACCAAAACAAAAACCTCTGATACCTTGTATAGAGAGGGATCCACTAGAAGCCAATCATTTTTTTGTGTTAAGAGGAATATATTACAAAGGTTCTTTAACATGTGACAGCTTTGCTGATCCAAGATTACAGAGATGTACTGAAGGTGGGGCTCAGGAATAATTCTGAACAAATCCCCCTATGACTCTTAGGCCCACTAAGGTTTAAGATCCTCATAAAGATCCATTAGTGTAATGCAGTGCTTCACATGTCAGCTCTACAGGCAAAAGTTAACCAGGACCTGGTTTAAATCAGAATCTCAGTTAGTGCTGACAACTACTAAGTTTTATTAATAAGGTTTAGGGTTTTTCTTCAGTTAACATATTTCAGTGTAATCTGCAGGGATTTGTAATGTTAAACCAAAATTTGCATCTCTGGTAGTTTGAATCCACAAGCAACTTCAAAGTATGTGATTTATACACCCAGCAGCTTCCTCCTATGTGACTTATACACCCCTGGAAATCCAGTGGAGGGTCAATAACCAACCAATAAGTTGGTTCCAATTCGATAGCAATGATATTGGAATACTTAGCTCCACCTCTCTGGGAAAGCCCCTATGAAGTTAGTGAATTTAAAATAGTTAAGCCTGTGTGAGCTTTGTTTTCTTCATTTTTAAAATATGCACCATTATACACACATTCCAAAATCTGTTTTACATGCCTAGGAAAAACATAATCCTTTGGACAGAAAGCAGCATGTGGTTAAGGCTGGAACAGACTGTTTTTAGAATTTGTGCATACATATTCTTCTAACTGCCACAATTTCAGTTCTGAGCACAAATGGAAAATACAGTGACTGAATCCCCATGGGTGAGAACGGTCCCATGTGAGCGGACATCATGTAGACTAACCTGCATAATGTATAAAACATTACCGAGCATAGTGTCTTTTAAAAAAAATATTCTTCTCTTGATAGAAAGTGATTAATCTCTTAAGTGTTTTCTTTAATTTTTCTTGTTGTGTGCCATCGAATCAGATCTCACTGGCAGAGGAGGGGACTGTTCTTCCTTCTCCAGAGGAGCATCTGGTTGCTTTGAACTGCCTTTGGGATTGCAACAGTTTCTTGCCACTAGGCCACCAGAGCTCCTTTCTTAGTGCTATGGAGTTGACTCATAGCTGAACCTGTTATTCTCAGAGGAAGAGACTGTCCACCTTCCTCTGAGGAATCATAGCAGCACAATTCCTTATGGACTATTGTCACCAGAGCTCCTTCAAAGAGATTTAGTTAGAGTAAAACGGGATAATGTACATTCAGAAGTTTTTGTTCACATGTATAAATGCTTCACTTAGCTAGAATTAATGATTATAGGAAGAGAAACTACAGCTTTAATTATTACCCAGCCAATGGTAAGTCCTTAGAAACTCACATCATCTAGTGGTGTAAATGCTGTTTTAGAGAATAGAGCAAAAAGGAAATCCAGTATCACTCCCTTCACCTACAATTCTACATGTACAAATCAGACTGGAAAACAGATGCCAGGCAGAAATCAAGAGTTATTAATAACACCTCCATGATACATCTTCAAGGATATGAACATGTACGGCTAAGCACAATTGATAACAGTGCATCTAAATTCCAAAATCAATCTCCGTAATAGTCTATGTGTTTCCTACTGCCAAAGGGGCCCTTTAGAGTAGTGAGAGAAGATCTCCACCCTGAAACCCACAGCGTCCCTTTTCAGAAGGAAGTAGCTAAAAGAATACGCCATTCCCTTTTCCTTATGAATCAGGGTGAAGTCTCTCTCAGGGAGGAGTGACAGGGAATGGCAAAGGACACACTGACAAAGGAGATTAATCAGAACTGGCTTTGACAAGCACTGTGGCAATTGGACAATTAAAACAGACATTGGGGTGGAGGAAGAAGAACGAACTTGGGAGGAGCGAAGAGAAAACAGTGCAACAATGAATGAATGAAAACCCCAAATATCTGTAAATGTTCATCAAAACTAACAAAAGTTAATAATAATTAAAAAAGAGTTATTAATAAGTCCTATAATTCTGTGTAAATAGTTAATTTTTAAAATATTTTATAAACCCCAACAAATCAGACTGGAACACATAAGAGAAAAGAAACACAGTGTAATTTTACTTTTCAGCTGTACGAAAGAGGGATGATTGGTATTATATTTGACATTCATGCATACCCAAATGAAATCCTGTCTCATCCCACAAACAATATAGGTTTTTGCCAGATTCAAATATAACTAAACACAAAAGTAATCACAACATCAAGCTGTTACAAATACTCTATGATCTGTAGACAGTTACCTGACCGGGTCGGGAGGGGGGGGGAAGCGTGGGGAACACAGGACAGACACTATACTTACTTCTCTGATTCAAAATCTCCCTGTTCTTCAAATTTTACAATGTGTCTTATTAGTCTCCATTGCTTAATGTCAGGTGTTGGGTTCCAGAAAACCTCTGAATTATCAGTCTTTTTGTCATTAATAAAAACTTCACTATCCTGTATGTAAGGAAATGAAAAACCAGCATAGTTATCTTCATTTAGAAGGGGATTATATAGCATAATAATATAATAATAAAAAAATTCCATTACTTAATTACCTTGAGTTGAACATTTGTTTAAAACAAATATAACTCATGTTTTCCCAAAAGCCCCAAATTTCTTGTTATATAAATATCCACTAAGATTGAGCATATAATTTAAAAATCCGTAAGAATTCACAAGTTTTACTCACACCAAGTTCAAATAATTACATACAAAAAGCAAGCCTTTTTTTACTAACAAAGTAGAGGATCATATTTACTACCACTAGAATTAACTCTTATTTACCATCTAGGCACTTAATATGTTAAAAAAGAAAAACTTTAAAGAGACTTCCTTAACATTAAAAACTTGAACACAATTTTTAAAACGTTATTTTTAATAAAACAAGGCTTTTTATCTTTTCTCCAAATGAAATTGAGCTACAAGTCTGCTAGCAAAAATTTTATTAGAGATCTCTTAACTGAGTTTCTAGATTGAGATTCACTTTCTTGTCAACTCATTATTATCATGCAGAAAATGGCATATACTTAATGTTTACAGAGAGGGCTTATCTAGACAGAGCCTTCATTTTTATTTAATCAGGCTCCTCTTAACAAAATTACCTACTAAATTTAGGACAGTAGAGAAGTCAGTCAATGTTTTTCCGAACTACTATTCCTTTTCTATGTTTCTCAGAAGAAAATTTAACCCTCTATGGAATTATAGCTTTAAAAAAAAATTAAGAAAAAATATAGTGCCATGGGTAAGAGTATAGGCTGTGAACTTTTGGGGTGAAATACTGGACCTACCACTTACTATGGAAAAATTTTTATGTTCCTGTGACTTAATTTTCTCCTCTGTAAGATGAAGATAGAAACTGTTCTCACCTCATAGTGTTATAAAACTAAGTGATATGTTTAGTTTTGAAAAGAAAATATTACATAAAACTAAGTAAAATAATACCAAGAAAAAAATATCAGTTATGAAATTGAATCTTATATTAACTGGTAATGCTTTTAGCAATGGAATAAGTATTCTATTTTTAATTATAAATGCTGGTTTTATTATTTTTCCCCCCACAAAGTAAAAGCAGGTTTGAAATGTTAGTATATAAAAACACTTACCCAGTGACCTTCCAAAGTAGCTAGGACTTCTTTTCCCAATTTGAGTTTCCCTGATATTTGATTAACACAATCACTACTTCCTAGAAATGGCTTTTAGGAAAGAAAATGTTGAAGAGGTGCTTTACTTTTTACTTATATCATAGACAAACAAAAACGTACTCTAAGCATGATAAATGGTGCCCAAATGGTGAGACAGAAATTCACATTTTGTCAGAAATAGGAAGAAATTTGAACTTGGTATGGCAGCAAAATAGACAAAAACCGAGTAAAAGTGATATTAAATATTATACTGAGAAAGACCAAATGGCATAAGTGACTCATGTCCTTTGCTCTCTCCTGACTCAGGAGACTGTGGCCCATAGATGTGGCAATCCATTAGGCAAGAACAGGTCAGTTAACCTAATGGATTTAAATATCTGTTGGATTAAAGAGTAACCTTTCTTGCTGATATCTCCTTGGAGACATAATTTTGATGTTTCAATGTATCCCTTAAAGGTGTCAGAAATTACTTAAGACCTTTTAGGAAGTCATGATTTTAAATAATCTTTATCAGCATTCATACAATTATCTGCCAATATTAAAAATAAAAAAGTAAAACACCAAGCAAAGGGTGGTTGTTGTACGTGCTGCTGAACTGGAATTCATTCATAGTTGATTCTACAGCAGGTTATCAAAAGCTGTAAATTGTATGCAATGAAATAACTCCTTACCCACTAGGCCACCAGAGCTCCCTAAACCATTAATCACTTAAGAGATCCCTTCTTTTAATGTTGAGTTGCTGATCAGCTGGGGATCACACAGAGACAATTCAGTATTAAGTACTAAACAGTTCATAGGACATAAAAGTGAATATAATGTATAATGACTAGGGATGATAGAAGGAGAACTGATGTCTTTGAGCTGTGGTGCTAGAGAAGAATACTAAATATACCCTGGACTGCTAGGAGAATAGGTTCATCCTAGCAAGGGTGAGACCAGGCTGCTTCTTAGAGGCAAGGATTCTGAAGCCTGACATACTTTGGACATGTTGCAAGAAGGGACCAGCCCTTGGAGAGGCAAGTCATGTTTGGGAGGGTGGAGGGACAGCACAAGAGAGGAAGACCCTCGAAGAGATGGATTAATTCAGTTACTGGAGTAACTAGGGGTAGGTGTGTCAGAGACAATGAGATTGGCACAGGATTGAGCAGGGTTTAGGGCTGTTGTACACTGGGTCGCAAGCGACTCATAACAACACGGCACATAACAACAATGTACTGCTCCACACAACAGTTAACACTGTGATGTGATCTGAAATTTTCCTTTTCATTTTTTGATAGACAGTATTTAACAGTTAGCATGAAAAATATCCCCACTCCCTGCCTGCAGCTTACAGGCGATCTAATCCTCAATGAGATCGAAACACTCTCACAGAAAAGAGATGTCTGTAATCCTCCTTTTGAGTTAGATTAGGCCATGACTCTTTAACCGACAGAGGAATGATTGTACAGTGATATAAACTGTCTTCTAAGGATGTTGTTGTCGTTATCTGCAGTCAGTCGCTTGCAACGCATAACAACCCTATGTACAAGAGCCCTAAACCCTGCTCTAACCTGTGCCAAACTTACTGCCTCTGACACACCTACCCCCACTGTCCCTGTGACTGAACCAATACATCTCATCAGGGGTCAAACCTTCTAAGGATAGTTCATATAGAAGGTATGCGATACAGATTCCACCTTGCTCACTACTTGTACTTAGAGCCTTGAGTTGCCATGTAGAGTTTCGTTATTGTGATGCCTATAAACTGTGAGGATGAGAAGACACATATCCTCACAAGAGCACTGGTCGTGTAGTCCACAGGGAGTTGTGCTGCTAACCCAAAGACGGCACTCTCTGGCAGTGTGGATCTTCCAGTGACTGCACAGGAGAAAGATGGACACTCTTTTCCCATTTGATTTACATCCTCTCATAACCAGCAAGAGGGTGAACAACAAGTCAACTCTGACTTTGAGACTCGGCAATGAGTTTGTGAGTTTTTTGTCATACCAGCAGTCCTAGTCTTAGCGAGTTCTCCTTGGCCAGGCACCAGGTATGTAAGTGATGAGTTTTTAAATAATTCCATCAAGTTTTCAAGTATTAAATCTTTATAGGAAAAGGCTGATTATCTTTTTCTATTTGAGCGCTGATGGATTTGAAACGTCAACCCCTAAGCAGTGCACCATGCTACGTACTATGCAGACGTGGAGTTTATTCTAGACTAAAAGTCTTTCTAGTTAAGACTCAAGCATTATGCAGCAGAGACAAACCATCTCTAATATGCTTTGTAAAATTCTTGATCTAGAGAGCTCATGAGTTTATGAACATTTTAAAACCTGTAAGTTTTAGGGCAATTTGGTATGCAGAAATAATAACTAATGAAACTTTGAGTATATACATCCTAAATTCAACTAATTTGTGACTTTTGGTATTTAATAAATCAATGCTTTAATTTACAGAGAAATTCCTATCCAATAGTTCAAATCTCATGTTATATAAGAGTAACAGTTTTCTTAATTAAGATTACAAGGAAACAATAATTTAGTTTTAATTTGAATTCCGAGGCTGCTGTATTTTTAGGTTATCCCAAGATATTCACTCATCCTTGATCCCACGCCTGGTATCTTTGAAGCTATATGTATGCTATTATGTTCCTATTTGGTCCAAATGAGGTGCTACACTGTGCTTTCTGTGCAGTATTTACAGCATGTGTGTTATCGGTGTCTTTTTGTGTCTTTAAGTTAGTGTTAACTCATAGTGACCTTTATGAACAACAGAATTTATAGTATAAATACATCCTAATATTATCTAATTACCTTTAGTTTAAATTCAAGTATTGCACTGTATCCAGTTTTCTGACACGTAATATTGACTATTCCCCCAAGCTCTAGTGTCATTGTGCCATAAAGAATTCCTAAAAGGGAAAAAAAGAGAACAAAGGTCAAAAAAAGGTATGCTAGCTAATAACTAGGAGAACTTGGTAACCTAATTGTCTTCTAGGAGGCTGTTGTAATTCAAGGGCATTCTGTTCAAATGAAAATTGGTAATAAAGACAAAAACAACAATAAAGACATAGAGTCGGTTTTATAGGATGCAGTGGATATAAATAAAACAAAAATTATTCTCCCAAATAGATTTCATAATTAAATGTTGGAAAAATTCTGGATTTAACAAGGTTAAACAGTTAAGGGGAGTATGTGTGTTCATGCATGCGCTGGCTCAATGCATAACGTTAATTTCCAAGACAGAAACACAGTAGACGGTATACAGTATTGGGCTACAGAACTCTTTATTTGTAAACACTGTGTGGGACTAGTGATTTGGAAAAGCATTTTGGAAAATGAGAACTTATTATTATTATTTCTCTCAGTCATAAAGAACGATAGTCTCTTTTTTAATTGTTCCTTCCAATAAAACTGACTGTTGCTGTGGAAAGATTTTTCCTGTGCTAATTGGACATGGCATGGGTATCTATCCACATTGCAAATGAATTTATTTGTTCCAAATGATATAAATGAAAAAACACATACTTGTATAGGTTTGTTTCACAATTACTGATACTTCACTCCGTAACTTTCAAGAACCACTCATGCAGCTCGAAAAATTACACAGTCTGAGGCTACAAGTTGACCACAGGTGCGTGTAATGGAAGGAAGGTGAATGGTTTAGTGAATGGCAGCCACGATGTCTAGAGGGTACTCTCCGCCTTCTCACTAACTGGCTACCTGGGTAAAATTCTTAATTCTTAGGTTTCTCTTCTGTGAAATGAGTCCATACTATATAATTTCTGTATTTCTGAATACTTCCTGAAATAAAAGTTTACAACCAGTTACTCTGTATACATCAGTTGGGAAGAGAGAACTTAATAATGACCAAACTGAGTATTTAAACTGTACAGATGTGATACAGAAAAGTTGCTGCAAGTGCAGAGTGTAAAGGGAGATGCCTGAGTTCACAGCCTGATGGAACTGTATCCTAGATGTGTGATGGCGGGCAACTTAATTATCCTCTCTGATCCTCTTTTTTTGCCTCAACTATAAAATAGGGATGATACTACTACCCACTTTACAGGGTTCTAATATTATTAAATGTGTCTGTGAATGTGAAGTAAGTAGTTGAGTACCTGTCCTATAATACAGGATAGTTATTATTTAATACTCTTATCTGCATTCTAAGCAATGGGGGAAATGCATCACTAACTGACATTTAAACATTATCAAATGCTAAGAGGATTTAAAAGGAATTTGAAAATTGAAGAGCATAAAATTAAAATTTAAAAAGGGGTGGTACAAGAAGATGAAAATCATTTTTGAGGATTCTGAAAGAATGGGCAGTTTCAGCAAATTTTAAAACCGGCACATTAACCAAATGAAAGAAATTCCAACAATATAGATCAGTCTCTTCAGAATAAAGTACACATCACAAAAATCTTTTATAGGTGAACTAATTCAACAAAGAAATATTCAGCAGCTGGCATCAATAATCTTAAATTTTGTAAACTTACGGTGTTTTCAAACAAAATGCAAAGCTAACGCCATTAATCTCAAAGCATACCAATTTATGAACATATAAATTATACTTTTAAAAGGTTTAAGAACAATCTAACTGAAATGTGCAAAATACTTACCTTTACAATGAGCATATGGCATTGTCATTACATAATCTTCACCTCTATTCAAGAAAGTTAACCGGGCTTCTCCCTCCAATATTGCAGATAATGAGTTTCCTGAAATGAATATTGTTTATTAAGTTTCACTAAACACATTCAACCAGTTTAAAATAATAGACACATATCCTATATATGTGTGCATGTGTGTGTGTGTGTATAGTATCTCTACCAGACATCTATAATAGAATGTATTAAAAATTACCCTAATTCACTAAAGTTGTGGACTATACTTTCTCTTAAACATTCATTTTGAAAGTGTTCACTTCTTGTTATAGGAAGGAATACAATTAGGTTTTATATTTTGTCCTTGTATTGAGTGACCTTATAAATGTTAAGTGCCATCAATTTCACTACAACTCACAGCAACGCTATGAATAACAAATGTGAACCCTGCCCTATCCTGTACCATCTTTATGATCTCTCTCATGCTTAAGCTAAGTTATAATAGTCACTATGTCAATCCATTTCTTATGGACCTTCCTCTTTTGTTACCTCTCTACCTGCTCTAGCATTATCTGTGTCTCCAAGGACTGGTTCCTTTTGAAAATATGCCTAAAGTAAGCTATTTATCCTTTTTTATAATAATGTCTGTAGTATCAATAGTGGAATCTCTTCATTTTATTTGTGACATTGGTAATCTGTATGCTCTTACAACTCATAGTGACCCTATCAATAACATATCAAAAACATGCCCTATCCAATACCATCATGTTCAAGTTCACTGTTGCTGTCACTGTGTCCAATTTATCTCAGTGAGGGTCTTGCTTTCTTTTGTTGACCCTTTACTATTTCTGGTATGATGTGTATTTCCAAAACCTGGAGCCTCCTGACAACACGCCTGAAGTATATAAGACAAAGTTGTACCACTCTTGTTTTTTAAGGAGCACCCTGTTGCTGTTATTGCCGAGTACCACTGAGTCAGAACTAAGCCACAGCTCACCCTCCAGGGGTCTTCAGAAGCAGCTAATTGTATGAGAGGAGACTGCCTGTCCTCCTGCAGAGCAGCTGGTGTCCTTCAACCACATGCTTTCCGGATTACAGCGCAGATTACCGACACTTGCTCCTTACTCTAAATTTTTTAGATATTTTAATGTTGTTTATTTCTACCTCTTCATAGTTGCAGAAATTCTTTGTAAGATTTCAATGTTTTTAAATTTATTAAGGTGTGTTTATGAGCAAGCTTATGATCTTTTCTGGTTAAAAAGACCATATATACAAAAAAGGGAAAACAAAAACAAAGTGATCATCAAGGAAAATAAAAAAACACCTTGAAGAAATGTTACTGGATCAGGAACTATTGTTAGATTTCCCTGTCACAGGTTTGTCTATGGTTTTCCTCTACTTTCCCAGAACTTGGGTTTTGTTTCTATGTACTATTTTTCCTATTTTACAGCTGGGTTTCTTTTCACTTTTAAAATTCCTTAGTTGAATTCTATGCCTTTATTTTTTTTTTCCATTTAATATTAAAAAAGACCTTACCGTTTGTTATATTGAAATTTTCTATCTTTTACTTTGTATTTATAAAAAGTTATGTGCTTTGACCCAAAGTTACATCTTTTTACTGACTATGGAGGTATTCTAATTGTATTTAGATTTCTCTCTACTAAAAGATTGAAACAGATAGAACCTCCCACTGCCTGTACCCCCTTAGGTTCATTGTTGTTATTGTTATGTGCTGCAACGAACTCACAGCTGACCCTTCAGTGGGTTTCTGAGGCTGTAAATTATATGGGAAGAGAGCAGCTGGTGGATTTGAACCACGTCTTTGGGTTGACAGTGCAACTCCTTTCCCATTAGGCCATCAGAGCTCCTTCAGGCTCATTAAGACAGCAGTAAAAAAACTTGGTAGATCTAAAGAAAGATATGTATATGCACTAAAAGAGCTAATGAGTAACATGTAGTCTGTTATTGGGTAAGTGATGTTTGTGATGGATTTATACATAAGTGATGGAATATAAAGTCACAAGAGTCTATGAATAGGTAATAAAAAAACCACTGTGAGAAAGGTAATTATCCAGGTAAAGAGAGTACTTAAAATGACATAAAAATTCCTTTTGCAAACAGCTTGAAATACTATCTAAGTAATAACTCATCAGAAAGCATCTTTCAGAAAAGCATCTGAGTTGGAGCATGAGAAAACTTACCATAGAACTTAGACTTCGCAAGAATGCTACCACTAAGGCAAAAGCCATCCTTCCGATTGCTAACATAAAAGGCAGATATTGGTGGATGATGAGATACCTATTAAACAGGGGAAAATGGAAAACAAGATAAGCATATTATGGTTGTTGTTTGTTATTGTTGATTGCCATTGAGTTGAGCACAACACATAGTAAAACTATGAACAAAAGACCTAATGCCTTTCTGTAATTATCATTTCTCCAAGTTCAGAGTGTTTCCATAGGCATGTGGATGATACTCCTACTTCCAAATCTGTTTTACAACTGGGAGCTCCACAAAACACTGTCTACATGGGGAAGCCATTATGGCATTTCACACCTCAATGGCACAGGTTCAGCATCACAGCAAACCCAGATTACTTCCGTACAGCAAACTGACAAAGAGTGATGTACAAAGTAGAAGAATGTTCCTCCAACATATATTATAAAAAATTCTTAAAAGCATACTCTAATAATAGGAAGGGCTATTTCCTGGAGGACATCAAGCTTGGAAAGGTGGGGGTGGAGCTCGGCATAAAATAGGAAGGCCTTTGACAAGATAGACTGACACAGTGACTGTAGCAATAGGCTCAAGTGTGTCAGAGATGGTGACAATGGCACAGGATAGGTGAGGTTTCAGATCCATTGTTCACAGGGCTGCTACAAATGTAGGTTGACTGGATGGCACATAACAACAAGAAGTAATAAGTAATGAATCTTAAATAGTAAAATTAAATATAGATGGCTGTGGTAATTAGCCTCCAAGATATCCACTGTTGTGTACCATAGTATCCAGGTAGGGCCTGTGATATGCAGATGTGACAGAACATTACTAGGTGATAAAAGATATCATTACAAAGTCTGAAAAGAAAATCATGTGGAAAACTGAGTCCTATTGTCAACAGTCACATGAATAAACAGGGAAGTAAATTCTCCGGGCCTAATCAAGCCTTCAGATGACTGAAAAACAGGGTGACATTTTGATGCAACACCATGAGAGACACTAAAACAGAAACCATTCAGCTAAGCATTTATTGACACATGAACATCACTCTCTCTCTTAGTCCCACTGCAGTAGAGTTGGGACTGACTCATAGCTGACCCTTCAGTGGGTTTTTGGCGGGCTATGAGACAATGAATATTTGTTAAGCTATTACATTTTAAATAATTTGTTACTCTGCAATGGACAGAAAACACATTAAAGTTTTCATGTTGATTACTGAATAGGCTGAAGGAAACTAGTAACAGCTTTGAAAAATGTACACCTTTTGTTTTTTAAACAGAGACAAAATAAAATCAAACTCTTTTTAACCTTTTCAATTTATGTGAACAAGAATGCAAGGTGATACAATCATTTGTTTTTAAAATGTTAATATAGAGTAGTGGGTTCAATGAGAGTATATATCAAAATCTCTAAGGAGAATTTTCCAGTGACACATCATATTATTCTCATCCTCATTATGCTCAAGGGAAAGATTATTATATTATGGAACTATTGTTATTGAGAAAGAAAGTCATATTCTCAGGTTTTTGTAGATGAGATAAAGACTTAGAATCATTAATAGAGATATACTAAAATTTAAAAACAAAACAAAATAAAAAAAATAAATAAAGATAAGTTTTCTTGTGCCCAACAAAAGATGAGATGTTACTGGGATGACAGTGGAGTTGGAGTATGTCTACCAGGACTTAATAACTGGGAGATAAACTCTAACAAAGTTAAACAATGTATTAAAATAAAATAATTATTAAATAATCCAAAAAACTAATGCAGACATGTGCACTGGGTCAGGACACTAGGAAGTATAATCATCTGGATGATAAAGAATGAAAACAGGATTTATTTGGATGAAAAGCCAAATGAACCACACACAAGATTAGATTACTGATGTGGAGAGCTCAGAAAGGCAGATAATTTGATATAAACTTAGAAAATAAAGAAGGATCTAAAACACCAGAAAAACAGATCTCAACTTGATTGGGGACTTGGAGAAACACTGAAGAACTGGGAATATGACTAAAAAGGTGTTTTTAAAATCTAAGTTTTGACAAACAAGAAAAAGGATATGAAAAATAGAATTTTCTGTGACAAGATTATCTTCACAAAATACTTCAGAATATAGTCTTTAGTAGTGCTCAGCACTAGAAAGCTAAATGCTTGCTAATGATTCACTAAATAAGCAGAGTCAATCAAGACTGAGTCCACTAAGCCACTGCTTGATTTAAAAACAGCCCAAATATTTCCTAATCAATCTTGCCACTGTCACATGGACCTTTAGTACCTGTTCGGCAATATAAAATGTTTTGCTGCTTGTTCTGGGATGAATCCATAAACAACGAAAAGTCTCACCAAGAATAGGATTATATGGTTTCTTCAGCCCCTAGTTTAAAAACAAACAAACAAACAAACAAAAACAAGTTTCAAATTACAAATCTAGAAGATTTAAAACATTTTAAAGCAGTCAAAATGTCATGAAGAATGCACTCTTTATAAAAAGTTCCTAATATATGAAATAGAATTAAACGAGTTCAAACTTAATTACTCAAAAAACCTTACACTAACTGTCACTGGGATGGTAGTGACTAGTTGCATGGAACTTAATGGTGAATTCAAACCACCAGAGAAGTGACACATTGGGCTTAGCAGGGAAACTGTATAGATCATGCCACCAAAGTTTCCTAAAAGGATGACATGAAAATAAGGAACTCAACAATATTAAGGAAAAAGAGTAAGAATGTTACCTTTGGTTTTTTATAAAATCCTGACAAATACCATTTCACTACTTTCTTCAAACGGAAATAGGGATTTTCCTCGAGGGCAGCCCTAAAAGGACCAAAATGGTAAATACAGAATATTATAAAATGAATCACAAATTTTCCTTTGTATTTATCAAGTCAACAACTATGAAAAGTTATTTGGAAAGTTAAACTCTTATTTAAAAGAGATGGCAAAAACAACTATGTAAATCCATTTCCAAGAATCACTGTTCATAATCTTGGTTTTCCCCTCTTTTTCACGCACTTTTTGAGAAACCACTCAGGTTTTGTGCTGAAGTAGTTTTTTAAAACTTTCTAAACCAAAGTTTTTTCAACTGGGGTTTAGTAGAATCCTAGATGTTGTTAAGAATTTTATAAGAAAATGTTACAGTGATTGGAATGGGGGACATACATGTAGATTTTTAAATTTATATTCTGTGTTGAGTTTGGTTGGGGTGGGTATTGCCTAGTACTTGAAATTATGGACAGTGGTCAAGTAGCCCTATTTACAATTTTAGTAGAGGTTTTTCTGTCCCATATGTCAACGAAGAACTATGTTCACTTGGCTCTGGTGGCCTAGTGTAAGGAGCTATACTGCCAACTCAGAGGTAAGTGGTTCAAATCCACCAGCTGCACTGCAGGATAAAGATGGACTATGTGATTTGCTGTCTCTAAAAACCTGCTGGAAGGTTGGCTATGGTTTGGCTGCTTGATTCTACACAATAATTGCTAACTGGCAAATGTCCTCTGGCGAGGACAGTAGCCTGGTGTTAGCCTCTCCCTTGCAAATTACCTCCCTGCTTAAGAAGAAAATAAACCACAACCCCCTCTCCCTAAACATCAAATTTTAAGTTACATACATATTGGGACATTTAAAATAAATTACTTAAACTTTTAGCCTCCCATACATGCTGTCAACTACTTTTCCAAAAGGAACAAATTCCACCAGTACAACAGATAATTAGAGCATAACTTCTATCCTATGACAGAAATTTTCAGAAGCTGTGACTTTACTGTGGCTTTTGCCACTTATTGCAAATTTTGCGAGATATGTATATGTACAAAAGAATTTTATTGTGAAGCTTTCATAATTTAGTTATTATTACGTGCTTATTTATAAAAGGTATTTGTCTTACGGTGACAATTTTGAGCACACAGTATGGTGAGATCGAAGGTCCAAATCTACTGACAATTTTGACAATGTGAGAGATGTTGGCTTTTCCAAATTGAAATGCCACACTTTTCAGGAGTAGCAACACTCTCTTGCTCTTTTCCAATCTTAGTATAAATGTTCTTCCTATGTAATTTCATTTAAATTTTTATAAACACATAGAACTCAAAACAAAAAGTCTATGTGCCTTGCCCTCACCTCATCTCTAGTGCTCTTACAGTTTTCTTATTTTTTTAGCTTCTCATTCTCCTCTAAACCATTTTCTTTAGATATGAAAAATATGTAGGGTTGAGGTCTTCCCCACCTTTGCTACGAAAAAAGAATGTGTCACCAATGTGAAATGCAGATGACACAACCCTGCTAACAGAAAATGGGAACGACACGAAACACTTATTTTTTTAAAAAAATTTATTTGTGTGTGTGTGTGTGTGTGTGTGTGTGTGTGTGTGTGTGTGTACCAGTCAAATCGGATCTGACTGGTACAAGGAGGAGACTGTCCCTCCTTCTCCAACAGAGAATCTGGTAGATTCTAACTGCTCACCTCTGGGATTGCAGTACAGCTTCTTGCCACTAGGCCACCAGAGGTATCCACAAAGCACTTAATGAGAAGCTTCAATATAAATTACAACTCAATAAAGACAACAAAAATGATCACAACCAATAAACAACATCATGCCAAATGGAGAAAAGACTGGAGTTGCCAATGATTCAATTTTACTTGGATGCATAATTAACACCCAAGGAAGCAGTAGTCAAGAGATCTGAGACTTAACTATAATTGGAAAATATGCTGCCAAGGAGTTCTTAAAACTACCAATAAACACGAATGCCATTTTAAGGACTAAGGTGTGCTTGGCTTAAGACATGGTATTTTTAATTGTTTCAAACCCATATGAAAGTTAGACAATGAATAATAAGGAAGTCGAAAGAAGAACTGATTTCTTTGAATTACGGTATTAGTGAGGAATATTGAGTGGACTGTCGAAAGAAAAAACTAATCTCTTTTGGCAGCCAGGCTGATTCTTAGAAGCAAGGATTATCTGGCTATATTATCAGGGGGAGCCAGTCCCTAGAGAAGGTCATGCCTGGAAAAGTAGAGGGTCAGCAAAAACAAAGAGGAAGATCCTCAAGGAGATGGCTGGATACAATGACTGCAATGGTGGGCTTAAGAAAACCAGTATTATGGAGACAGTGCAGGATGGGGCAGGGTTTAATTCTGTACATAGGGTTGCTGTGACTCAGAAGTGACTGGAAGACACCTAACAAAAACATTTCCTTTGCTAAAATTAGATATAGCGGAATATAGTGGGCTATATAAACTATCAAAATGTAATCTTGGAAGTCTCTCCATAAAGTTCTTCCTCATATGTGGATAAACATACCATACTCTATTAGTCATAAGAGTAACAACCAATTGTTTAGTATCAAGAAGCATGCTGCAACAATTTTACATTATATCCTTTTTCTTATATGGATATTTACAGCTCTAAGAGTGATTTGTACAACTTAGATGACTGGATCAAAGAATGAAAGCATTGTTGTTATGTGCCATCAAGTCGCCTGCGATGCATAGCTCTGAAGGCTGTCCTGTCCTGAGCCAGTCTCAGTAATTTTCATACAGCTACCCTCATTGTCCCAGTTACTATATCAATCCATCTCATTCGTGGTCTTCCTCTCCTGTGCTGTCCCTCCACCCATCAAAGCAAGATGTCTTTCTCCAAGGACTGGTCCCTCCTGGACATGTGCCCAAAGGATGAGAGAGTTTCAAAATCCTAGCCTCCAAAACCTGATTTAGCCCTCTCTAAGACTGACCTATTTATTTTCCTGGCTGTCTATGGTATGTTCAAGACTCTTCTCCAGCACCACAACTTGAAGGTGTCAATTCTTCTGTCATCCTAAGTAAATTGTCCAGCTCTCTGATGCACTGAAAGTAACTGCAGGGGCCACAGCCTGGATCAGATGCACCTTAGTCTCTAGGTTGACATCGTTGCTTCTCAGTACTCCAGAGAGGCCCTTGACAGCAGATTTTCCCAATGCAATTCATCTTTTGATTTCCTGACTGCTGGTGCCAAGTGTTGATTGTGGAGCCGAGCAAACTTAACTGTTAAAACCTCAATCTTTTCGCCATCAGTCAGGGTGTTGCCAGTCAGCTCAGTGGTGAGAATCTTACCTTCTTGATGCTGAGCTTCAATCCATATTGAAGACTACAGTCCTTGACCTTCTGTACCAAGCGCTTCAGGCCCTCCTCAGTTTCAGCAAGCAAGATTGTGTCAGCTGCATACCGTAGGCTGTTGATGAGTCTTGTTGTTGTTATGTGCCGTTGAGTCGCTTGCGACTCATAGCGACCCTATGTACAACAGCTCTAAACTCTGCTCTGTCCGGTGCCAATCTCATTGTCTCTGACACACTCATCCCAATTGCCCCAGTCACCAAATCAATACATCTCCCAGAGGGCCTTCCCCTCCTGCACCTGCCCTCCACACTCCCAAGCATGATGTCCTTCTCTAAGGACCAGTCTCTCCTTAAAACATGACCAAAGTATGTCAGACGAAGCCTCAGAATCCTTGCATCCAAAGAGCATCCCGGTTTAACCTCCCCATGATGAATCTGTTTGTTTTCTTAGCAGTCCATGGCACCCTCAGTACTCTTCTCCAACACCAAAGCTCAAAAGCATCAATTCTCCTTCTATCCTCCCTGGTCACTGTCCAGATCTCTGATGTATAACAAGTGACTGCAAAGACCATGGCCTGTACCAGATCACCTTAGTCTCCAGAGACACACTGTTGTTCTTGAGTACTTTAGAGAGGTCCCTAACAGCAGACTTTCCCATCGCAATATGTCTTTTAATTTCCTGGCTACTGGTGCCAAGGGTGTTGACTGTGGAGCCAAGCAGAATAAAGCTGTGAACAATCTCAATCTCTTCACCATCCATCCTGATGCTGCCAAGATGAGTCTTAGTATTTGGTAAATACTACAAATTCACTTTGAAGAAAATTACTGTGTCATTTTTTATCTTCCTCAGCTATGTAATGAGTGTATGTAGCTCACACAGCCTTTGCAGCATGTGTCACTAGAAAGTGGCAACTTTGTTTTGGAAAATGGATTAAGATATTACTATGATTCAGAGGAATTTGTCTCATATTTGGAGAAAAATTAATTTCTGGACAAAAGAAGCAAGAACTATAATAAGATATTAGGCCAAACAGAGATGTAAAGCTTTAGGGTTATTTGTCAATGTGATGAATGAACAAATGTTCCCTACTGTGGCTCAGATCTATGCTTAATAATAACCCATTTTATCAACTGTCAGGTATAGTCAGAACTCAGTTTATGACTTTACCCTAAATGTTCATTAAGGCAATAAACATAAGATAAGGAAATGGATACAAATTCTAAAGAACAGATCCCAGTACCAGGATTTAATTATCTTAAAAAATAGTGCCTTGAATAACTGCCAGTAGAGTAACTGTAACCTTTTACTATTTTTCCAAGGAACTGGTGAGACAAAGGAAGACAGCACCTTTCCCCTTTATGCTTGCATCTGTTCAAATTATGTCTAGGATAAAATGGAACTGAAGAAAAGAAGATGAGAGTAAGGAGAACAGAGTTTTGTTAAGAGTTAGCAAACAAGTTAGTTGCTGTTGTTAGGTGCCACTGAGTCAAGTACTACTCACAGTGACCCTATGAACAAGAGATCTGAACCCTGTCCTATACTGTGCCATCCTCACAATCTCAGACATGCAGACCATTGCCACGGTCACTCCACTAGTTTAAGGGTCTTCCTCTCCTTTGCAGCCCCTCTATCTTTCCAAGCATCATGTCCCTCTTCTAGAAACAGTCCCTCCTAGAAAAATGGCCAAAGTATGTAAGATGAAGCTTCACCACCTCTGTCTCCAAGAAGTACTCTGGCTGTGCCTTCTCTAAGACATAAGTGTTTAATCTTTTGAACAAGTCAATAGTGTCTATGAAATTAGTGTTATAGGTAAGGTATAGAGTTCCTGTCTTCCTCAAGCTTATCTCACTCAAGCCAACTTCCTAGGAGCAACATTAAAATGAAGTATCAAATATGCTGCTCCTTCATCCCTGAATTCATCACTTCATTCATCACTGAAGAAGTGATCGAAAGAGGGAGCAAAGACCATTAACACCAGGTTTTTTTAAAAGGTATAGTTGGTGAGAATGACACTGCAAAGACTCTTTGAAGTCAGAAAGCATCCTCTGTTTTTGAAGGATAAAAGACTCTACTTACTCAGACAAGAAATCAGCATGATAGTAGTAATCTGAAAGTTTATCCAGGAAAGAACGAGGCTCCAAAATAAATGTAGGAAGAACCACTCTGGACAGGTCCATGCCAGGACGGACTTGTTTCAACAAGGTCCAGATAAGACTTTTGTTTTCTTCAGACACAGTTTCTGTTTGACAAGCCTCCCCTGCCTTTAGCAATTAATAAAAAAATATTATTTTCTTTTAAACACAAAACTAAATAGACAACTGATGGTTAAATATATATCCTCTGCACAATTATTCTAAGCACTCTTGATGTGGGCAATAATTCATTAACTACTAAAGTCTAGAGTTACAAAATATAAGTAAAAAAGATAGTGCATGAGATAACATGGTTAATAGATTTCAGAGATTATCATGCTCTATTATTTTGTACTATACATATTTCTAGCGACTAACAAAAAAAGCTGAAAAGGCCTATTTCCTTGCAATTAAGTTTATATTTAGTTATTATGAAGAGATAGGCTTTTTTAACAGCAAGAGTGAAGGAAATGTTGGCTTATGTTTAATAGAATATACAGGCATGTATGTAAACTCTTATGTTTAGCTTTTTACAAATTTTAATGTGTTTTCAATACATATAATTTTGAAAATAAATTGGTCACACATAAATACTGTAACTCAGGACAACTATGCAATTTAATCTGAAAATTCTCCCAAATTAGGAAACCAGAAAGTCTGAAAGGAAGAGACTTTTACCTCTCCAAGTTCTTCATGACTCTGTTCCGAGTAGGTTGTCTCTTTTAAAGGCTCCACAGGCTCAGGTTCAATGTATGAGTCGTCCTGCCTTTCTGATGTATCTGTGTCACTTTCTTCACTTTTCCCCATCACCTCATTGTCAGACTCATCATGCTCCTGATCATTTTCTTTATCAGATTTATCAGAATACATATCTTGGTCCTTAAAATGCTGTCGTTCAATTTCGCTATCATTTAATCTTAAGGGAGATAGGTAAGAGAAGCATAATAATATTTTTTTTAAGAGATTTGAATCTCTACAAAGCCTACATACCAGTGCTCAGTCTTTCTAGAGAAATTTTTTAAAAAAGATTAACAGCAACAAATGACTTAAACAGTAACTGTCTGCACAAACTGTTTACAGCCCCAGCTTTCTAAATACTTAAAAAACATGAGTGCTACTGGGGTAAAAGTGCTGTGGAACAGCAAAAGGACAGATTATATTTCATTATCAGAAGACAGGAAAGGTTTCCCATGTGATGTGGCATATGAGATCAACACTGATGAATTATATTTAAGATTATAACAGGAGAAAAGAACAAGGAGAAGCAGAAATCATTTTAAATGGAGGGATGGTAGACACTGAGTGAACATGAGGTTACTGCAGAAAGAATAAGTAATCCATATAGACAAATAAAAAGAAATAAATTTCTACTTATATAATAGTAACTAAACAAATTATAAACCAAGTCATAAGCCCAGCATAGGAACACAACTCAAGAGTTCCAATACCAGATACACTATCAAACTCAAAAGTCAGCATAGTAAATAACATGGTCTCTGAAATAATAATCAAATTAGTGTCAAATAGCTAACTTACTGGAAGGTATCACCACTATGTAGATTGTTAGCACGCAGTAAACCATACAGAGTCACATGTGTGCTGTCGGATGAGATGCTCAGGTCATGTTCTTTTCCTTCTCTGATCATTGTACGCTTTAGAAGACTGGAACATTTCAATGCTAATTCCAAAGCATCCATCCAGCACCTGCCTAAAAGAATAGAGATTCATAAGTGGTATGATTTAGGAAACTATGAAAACTCATTTTATCTAGCATTGTTAGCATTAAATATACTACTACTTTTTCTTTTTTTTTTAAGAAATGAGCACAGGAAAAGTTAATTTGAACATGAAAATATTTAATTAATATCTTTTAAGTAGTTATTTATTTTAAATCACTTAGGAAAAAGTCTCTTTCTTAGAATAAATTAATAGGTATATCAGGAATTAGTTTCTTTTTCTCCCAATAGTATGGATGTAAGGTAAATTTGCCAGGATTCCCACTGGTCCCCTCCCCAGGATTTCTTAATACAATGTTTCAGTTTAAGAAATTATTATTATTAAAGTTATCTTTAATATATTAATTAGTGATAAATGAATAGAACACAACATAGCAAAAAGTACAACCTTAAATAATGGAATTTTTAAAACCTTTAAACAGTAATATCTAGCTCATTTGAAGGCAGAAAAAATGGCATACTACAAGAACATACATACAGAACATACATCTACATGGAGTGTATTTCTACTATAAACAAACTGCCTAGAATAAGATTTCATTGTTTATAGATCTATTTTCAGGTTTATTAAGTCTCTATAAGTATGAAAAATTTTAATGCCAAGGAAATCTTTGTACAGTACTGTTAATTAACTGTCATGTCTAATTTATATGCCATGGTAGTAACTTTTTTTGAGTTAAAAATTAAAACTGCAAGAAAAACATTAGTGGATTTAAAAATTGGTAAATATTTGTTTATGTAAAGATTTGCTGGAAAATTAGCCAAGTAAAACATTTTCCTATCAAAAGTTTATAAGAATGATAATATCAAGTTGAAAATAATCATCTGATAAAAATACATTTCTGGATATTACAAAATTCCTAGGCTGACCTAGGTGGTATATTCTGCAGGGACTTGATCTGCCAATTCAAAGGCTGTGCTTCTCTGGCGGTTGAATCTACCAGTGGCTCTGAGGGTGAAAGACAATCTCTTCCCTGGTGAGTGAGGATCTTAGAAAACTTGCTGGAAGGTCAGTCATGAGCTAGCTCCGATTGGACAGCAATGAGTTTGAATTGTGATTTGAAACTAGACTGAACTAAGAAATATGAGAGGAAGAAAATAATTTCTGATTCTAAGGATTTGAAGTTATCGTGTTTCTAGATAAGTTAGTTTTGCAGCTCCTACATGTGCCACAGGAAATGAGGATTAATATTAAATATGAAATTCAAGAGTTTACACATGAATCTCTACTTTGTGAAATACAGTAGCAGCAAAAAACCTCCAGGATTTATGTCCCAAAGCCATGAACATTTGTTGTTGTTGTTATGTGCCATCGAGTCGCTTGTAACTCATAGTAAACCTATGTATAGGAGCCCTAAATGTCGTTCTATCCTGTGCCAACCTCGCCGGCTTAAACACACTCATTCCCACCACTCCACTCATAGAATCGATCCATCTCCTCAAGGGTCTTCCTCTCCTGCGCCGTCCCTCCACTTTCCTAAACATGATGTCCCTCTCCAAGGACCAGTCCCTCCTTGCAACATGC